ACCCACTCCAGTATTCTTGCCTGGAAAATTCCATGGACAGAGGAACCTGACAGGCTGCAGACCATGGGGTTGCAAAGAGTCGGCCACGACTGAGCACATCAGCAATTTAATAAAATCCAAATTCAAGAGGTTTTAGAATATCCAGAGTCTTTTGCAAGGAGAAAAAACTGAGCTCTATGATGGAGGAATCAGAGATATACCACTGTAAGTTACTGATCAGTTTCAATATTACTACTGGTGGGTTAAACTTATGTTGTTACCATCTACTTAAGATGCAGCAATACCACCCATGATGTATTCTGTTGCAAAGTGCTTAACTTGAATCCATAGAGTCTATGGATGTGTGTTTGCTTTGTAGGAAATATAGGGGATAGAGAAATGGGCTAAATAACATCACAACAACTTATCACACAAATTGAGAGGCTGGGACTTTCTCTGAAACTACTGTCTCCTCAACAACTGTCTCTTCAACAGGGGACTTGGCTGGATAAAAACAGACTGAAGGGACACATCACACAGATGCAATGTGTGACCCTAAATTAGATCTGGTCTTAACATACCAGCTGAGAAACATTTTGGGGGGTCACAAATGAGAATATAGTCTGGTTATTAGATGAAATGGAAATTTTCTGAAATGGAAGGTTGGAGATCAATGACTAGACAAAGTGAATTATAAAGCTATATGTAAAATGTGATTTTGTACTCTCTGTATGATCTAGAAATGTATGTGTGGACACAGAAAAAGTCTACATTTTAATAGTGACCATTTTAGGCAGTAACTATGTGATCATTTTATTTTTGCTTCTAGTATTTTCTAGATTTCTATAATAATGTACTGCTTATATCATAATTCAAAGACTAGCTTTAAAATATAAATTCTATGGAAAATTTATATGACTTTTTAAATATCAATTCATCATTATCTATCATAGAAAATTTATGAGACAGATACAGACTTGAGCAGGGGCCTAGGGAGACTGGAGATTTGTGTAAAAAAGGTCTCAACTTGAATTGTTCGACTATGTATAATGCTTTGATCTAATCAAGATATTTAGTATCTTCTGTGTCCTTTCACATATAAAATGTTTTAAAGTGCATTAAAAATATTGTCTTAACTTTTTCTCACTAGAGGTTATAATGACCCTTCTAATAATTATTAGATAGCTCAGTATAAAAGGCGTTTTGCTAAATAGGCTCATAAAGCATAAAAGATTCTAGTTGCTTTTGCATTATAATCAGTTTCTTTTTCACCATGAAAGGTCAAGCTTAATGATTTTTAGGATTACCACTATATATGCAAATTGGATTCCTAGAAAACAAGCAGCCATTTTAGAAAGTACAGAGTCACACTCTGATTGCCTTAAAAGTGAGTCAACAAATAGTAATTAGAATTTTCACTAAGAGTACTCAGTTTCTTTTGAATATGACAATACATTAATACCAATTTCATATCATTTCTTTTTAAAATTCATATTTAAGTTGTATCATTTGAGAACTGTTCACATTTTATTTATTTTCTTTTAACTGTTCACATTTTAAATTTAAGGCTGATCTTTAAAAAAAATTCAGCTATTTGAAAATAGCTGGCATATTTAACTATTATTTATTTAAAACAGAATTATTTCAACCTAGAGGTTAAAGTCTGAGTTTGAAACCCAACAATAGCTGTGTAACGTTGGGGAAGTTGCACAGTGTAACTAAGCCTCAGTCAGTTCTCTGAATCTATAACACGGAGAAAATGGTATTTACCTCACAAAGTTATAATGATTAGATGAGATTATGCTTAGAAACCTAGGTGCCTGTCACATAATAAGAGGTCAATAAATATCTACAAACATGATGGTGACTCATATAAACTTGACATGTTCTTCTTGTCCTATATATCCTAATAGTATCGATGCTACAGAACATCTCCATATGGATGCCCCATTGGTATCTCAACCTTACTATCAATAGATGTAGCAGAACTACTGCTCCTCTCCAGGGTCCCCATGTCAGCAAAGGGTATTATCATTAACCTAGTTATTCAAGACTTGAGCTAGGAGTCATTTTTATCCTTTTTAAAAAACAAACAAACAAACAAAACCTCCACCACTCTAATTCTCTTAGTTCTGTTTTCAATACATTTTTAATCCAAACACTTCTCACAGGTTTATCACCATCATGCCAGTCCAAGCCAGCATCATCTCTAGCCTGGAAAAGCAAAGACTCTAGATATAGCTTGCATTTTTCACACTTGTCCTCCTCACCCACCTTAGCCTATTTTCCACCCAGAAGGCAGAGTGAGTCTTTCAAATGTAAACTAGGTGATGTCACTTCCTTGATTAAAACCCTTCAAAGGCTTAAAACCCTTGTTTAAAACCCTTCAATGGCTTCACCTCAAACTAAGAACAAAATCTAGCCTCTTTCCCTTGCCCCAAAACCCCTAAATGACTGGGCTTCTGCCTCCCTTCACTCCCAATACCTTTCCCTCACTCGCTCCACTCCAGCCATCCTGGCCCCTTTTGCTATTCCTCAAGCACCTTGAACTTGCCAAACACACCTCCAACTCTATACCTGTAGACTTGCCAGTCCTTCTGTATGAGTGATTTCTTCCCTGTTGGCAATAAAGCTTGCAGCTCACTTTTCTGCTCAAACATCAGGCTTTTCTGACCACATCGTCAAAAAAAAGCACCCCCACGGCTCTAGTTTATTTTTCTTCATGGCACTGTCACTACTACAATGTACTACTATAAGCATTAATTTATATACATATTAAATATGTCCATATTACATACATATCACACACAGATAATATACATTGTTTATGGCTCGTCTCCCCAGCTAGTACAAAACACCACGGAGGTGAGGACTCTGTTTATGGCTGGATCCCCGTTATCAAGAGCAGTGCTTGGCACCTTGTAGGTATTAAAGAAGTACTTTTCAACATCAGGGACTTCCCTGGTGGCTGAGATGGTACAGAATCTGCCTGCAGTGCAGGAGACCTGGGTTTTATCTCTGGGTGGGGAAGACCCGCTGGAGAAGGGGATGGCACCCCACTCTAGTATTCCTGCCTGGAGAATTCCATGGACAGACGAGCCTGGTGGGCTACAGTCCGTGGGGACAGAAAGAATCAGACGCGGCTGAGGGACTGACACTTTCACACTTCCTTTCAAGATTAACTTATCCTCATATTAAATTGGCTTGGGTTTAGCCAAATACTCCAATCACTAAAATAAGCAATAAACAAAACAAGCAAGCAGAGTTGTTACAAAGAATTAGTTCTTCTATATTCCATCTATTTTGCAGAATCCTTACAGATCTAAGTTTGAAAATAGGGCTCAGAATTTTTTTTTAAATTTTTATTCAGGAAAACTAACAGCAATCTAGCAGAAAAAAATCCTATTTCATCAGAGTGCTAGAAGAAAAAAACAATTTTTTTTAAAGCTTCTGTATTTAAAATAATTAAGTGCAACTAAGACCTGATGCAGTCAAGTAAGTAAATGGTTAGTAACTAATAGCTAAATATGTGGACTACAAAAATAGTTGCCTTAACCTACTACTATATGTCTAAACTACGACACACTATGAGCCACAGAAAATAATTTTATATTATCATCACTGAATTCAATCATTGCAAAGCAGAATATGAGTAAAATTCCAGCAGATAACTCTGTACTTACATCACTCTTTATCTTTTATTTTCAGATACTGGTGTTTTTGGACACAGGATTTTTGTCTATTTCATCTTTGCATCTTCTATAGTGTTAGCACAAGGATTGGGCTACTCAGTGGACAATTTCTGATTGAAAGGATGAATGATTCTGAGGGCCAGAGTTGGTAGTAAACATTATACAAATATAATAATAGTTAAATACTTGAAAAGTGAAAGTGTTGGTCACTCAGTTGTGTTTGCCTCTTTGTGACCCATTGTAGTCCTCTGTCCATGGAATTCTCCAGGCAAGAATCCTGGAGTGGGGAGCCATTCCTACTTGCAGATTTCCAAATGAGCCCAGTTCGTGTTTTTATATCATATCCTGTTAGATATAAAAGTGGTTTCTGTGTATTCTGTTTTGCTTCACAGTATTTATCACACCTGGCTTTTCCACTTTAAATTCCAAGGGGGTGAAAAGTGTACATTTAGGGACTTTCCTGGTGATCCAGAGGCTAAGAATCTGAGCTCCCAATGCAGGGGGCCTGGGTTTGACCCCAGGTCTGGGAACTAGATTCCACATGCTGCAACTGAGAATTCTGCAGGCTGCAACTAAAGACCCAGTGCAGCCAAATAAAGTAAAAACAAAAAAAAGAAAAAAGAGCTGTATGTTTATAGCTTTTCAGAGCCTTAGCATCTCATAATAGTAGGGGCTCAATAAATATATTTTAAATCAATGAAGTTAGGGCTGTGCTACTGGATCATTTGAAAATGCCTGGAGTCCCTTCCCAGCTAGTTTTCTGGATACTGACAGCTTTACAGAACTTCCTAGCTTCTTTTTCAGTGGTTTTAGGGTGCACAGTGTTTCACATGCATCTTAAAATTTGTAGTATCTTAGTGCATACAAGGAGATCAAACCAGTCAATCCCAAAGGAAATCAACCCTGAATATTCATTGGAAGGCATGATGCTAAAGATCCAATACTTTGGAAGCCTGATGTGAAGAGCCAACTCACTGGAAAAGACCCTGATGCTGGGAAAGACTGAAGGCAGGTGGAGAAGGAGATGAAAGAAGATGAGGTGGCTGGATAGCATCATCACTGACTCAATGGACATGAGTTCAAACAAACTCTGGGAGATGGTAAAGGACAGGGAGACCCAGTGTGCTGCAATACATGGGGTCGCAAAGGGTTGGACATGACTTAGCGACTGAACAACAACAACAAATCCTATGTTTGCAGCATTTCCCCACCCTGAGAATTACATAAAATAACATTGTTTTAATAAATGACGGTATTTTAGATTCAAGGAAATAGATTTATTGCTAACTCCACCTTGATGTGAAAAGTATAAAAACTTCAAGTACTTACATCAATTAAATCTGAAAGATCATGAATATAATACTTGAAAACTGAGGCATTGGTTGCTTCAAGGGTTAGGAGATATTCATTCCGTGCCTTAATCGACTTAAGCTTGTTTTCCGAATATTTTGCTTGTCTCTGGAAATGAAGAAGATCCAGGAATTGGGATAAACAATAGTCATTTTGAAATCAGACAGGGAAACATACATGAATTTCTATTCATCTAAATGATTTATTCTACGTATATAAATGACCTTCCAAGTCCTTTGAGAAAAGTACAATTTGAATCTGATTTAAATAAATGAAAATTGCCCAGCGACGGGGAATAGCAACAATGTATTTGGGCGTCAGGCCCATTTGCAATGAAATCTGTTTTGTTAATATTCAAAATTCTCTACATTGTGTACTAGATACTTGGCATTTACCACTAAACAATGTCCAGCTGTTATTACATGATTTTTATGTTTCTTAAACATTTGTCATCCCCATGGGAGGAAATGCATGTCATTTCACAGTAATTTACATCGTGTGTCTATCAGCTGTTACATCACTGTTTCTAGGCTTGTCACCTCCAGGGAGGGCAGAAGGGCTCTACAGTCTAGTTTTACTCACTTTTTCCTTCATTTTTTCAATTTTTTTCACCGAGCTTCGCCGCTGATGTCTCTCTTCCAGTCTAATGTGGAAGACTGGATCACCAGACCTGCCAATTTGCTTTTCTTCTTGTTTCTCAGCCTCTTTCAGTTTGCTCTCTGCGCTGATGCTCTCGGCGTGATACATATGGTATGTTTTCATCACCTATGAAAATGTGACCCAAATTGTTAAAAGATGTTAGTCTGTAACTTGGGGAATGGAAACCATTATATGACGTGTATGTTAAAGATATCACCTTCCAACTGGCAGAGGTCGAGCCAGATTGTTAGTAAAATAGATAACAGATATACTATTCCTTTTACATAAAGCAAACAGAAATATGCAATTCACCTGCCAGGAAGAGCCATTTAGGAACAGACTGTGATGAAAAAATGATTGACAGAGTCTTGTGTGTACTTTCAGTGTACTTAAAAAGTTCCCTCAAGCTTGAAAGTGTTTCTCTAAAATCTCCTCTGAATTATTAATTTGCAGAATAAACCATTACACACGGATAAATTTTAGCTAAACTTCGGAATTACGAAAAACTCCAAATAAGTATCAGTTCAGTTCAGTTCAGTCGCTCAGTCGTGTCCGACTCTTTGCGACCCCATGAATCGCAGCACGCCAGGCCTCCCTGTCCATCACCAACTCCCGGAGTTTACTCAAACTCATGTCCATCGAGTCGGAGATGCCATCCAGCCATCTCATCCTCTGTCGTCCCCTTCTCCTCCTGCCCCCAATCCCTCCCAGCATCAGGGTCTTTTCCAATGAGTCAACTCTTTGTGTGAGGTGGCCAAAGTATGAGTTTCAGCTTCAGCATCAGTCCTTCCAATGAACACCCAGGACTGGCTCCTTTAGGATGGACTGGTTGGCTCTCCTTGCAGTCCAAGGGACTCTCAAGAGTCTTCTCCAACACCACAGTTCAAAAGCATCAATTCTTCGGTGCTCAGCTTTCTTCACAGAATAAGTATAGCCCTTACTAAAAGGACTATATTGCTTAAAATCTACTTGTCAAAATATAAAACGTAAATGTAACGTTCATATATGGTTTTAGGGAAAAAAACTTTTCCTAAGCACAAAGTAATATTTTATGTTCAATGTAGAAAACATGTTGAAAAAACAAAGTAAAATAAAAAGTAAAAAATAAAAAAGCATATGATTTTGGTACACAGCTATTCAGTCTTTTTTCTATGAAAACACACATACACACACACACACACAGACACATACTCTTCTTCATTTTAAAATGACATATATCACTTCTCCTTCAAAAAAATATGGATCATACTGTATAATTTTTAGTCTCCTACATCCTTTTCCTCTTAAAAATATCAACTTTTCTCTATACCACAAACCATTCCTCTAAAAGAGCTATATAATATTTCCTTATGCCAATTCTCTATTATTGAACATTTTAGTATATTTCACTTATTGCTTTTTATAAATAAAATTGTGTTTAAAACCCTTCATATATAGTGTATCTTATTTCTTCTCTTAGAAATGGTACATGTAATTTGCATTTTAATAGATATAGGAATATACAGGAGATGAAATTTTGTAATGTATCCTTCCCATGTATATTATAAATATATAATTAACCCTAATTTAAATTTTTTACTTAAAAAAAGTTTAAAGTTATGGTGATTCCAATGCAACTAATGTCTCAAGGAATATCTGAAAATTCAGCAACCAAGTAATCAGTAAGAGTACATTCTCAAAAATGATGTCAAATTCTCATCCACATAAAACAGACTTTATTTCATCTGTAAATAACTGTAAGTTATCCCGAGCTAACTTTATAACTAAGCTATAATTGTGTTCAAGAGATTGATATAATGTTTTAAAGTAAGGAACTTGATTTTTGTTTCAAATATGAGCTTTAAAATAGTTTGAGGGCTGGAAGCATCACTAGAATAAATATATTTATTTAGGTGGAACCCAATTTCTTTTTTTTCCATAGGTTACAAGTAAAAGGTAGAAAATCAGCACTTAGGGTTCAGCTTAATGCACATCCTCCAGATGACTATTTGAAGAGCAAAATTTGGGGTTAATGAGGAGCCTTTACTTGTTCTCATAAAATCTGATAAAATCTCATAAAATCATAAGCTAGCAAATTACGTCAAAGGCACTGCTGAACAAGAACAAAGTGTGGGTTAACCCACAAAGTCGGGGCAACTTTTCCCTGAGCTGGGTGTAACTACAAAGTTGTCTGTTTTTAGTTAATTATCAAATCTATCCGGAGAGAGGGAGTTTGGTTGGCTACTCCAGTTTGAAAGCAAAATAAGATAGCATTAGGGAGCAGCTGGGGAATGAAAGGGAGTCACCCTGCAGCTGGGCAAACAGCAAGGCCAATGAATCTATTACAAACCTTGCATTTCTAGGCTTGGCTCTGTTTATATTCCCCGCCTGAAGCTAACCCACATGCCATTTGGTCTTGGTTCCAGTTACATCTTTAAATGAGAGGCTGAAAAACACCACTCACTCACACACACACACACACCATACGCAGTTGCTCATCTGTCTTCTTGCTACTAGACAGAAAGGAAGAAATGAGAACACATAAACTCCCATCAAAGATGGATGAAAAGCCATCTCAGACAGACCAGGGTAACTGAGAAATCTTGATTTTAAATACTTTCTGAGGAAGAAAACTCAACTCCGGACTCTTGCAGAGGCCTAGTGTAAGAAGGTAATTGGCACTAACTAAACTTTAGGGCTTCCCTGATAGCCCAGTTGGTAAAGAATCTGCCTGCAATTCAGGAGACCCCGGTTTGATTCCTGGGTGGCGAAGATCCGCTGGAGAAGGGATAGGCTACCCACTCCAGTATTCCTGGGCTTCCCTTGTGGCTCAGCTGGTAAAGAATCTGCCTGCAATGTGGGAGACCTGGGTTTGATCCCTGGGTTGGGAAGATCTCCTGGAGGAGGGAACGGCTACCCACCCCAGTATTCTGGCCTGGAGAGTTCCACAGATTGTATAGTCCACGGGGTTCGCAAAGGGTCGGACACGACTGAGCGACTTCCATTTTCACTTCCAAGGTTTATGAACTAAGGATCCCAAGCAGTCAGCTAGCATGGTGTTTGCTTAACTAGCCTGTGTTAAAAGGAAAATGTTTGAGTCTGAAAACATTACTAGCAAGAAGAGGGTGTAAATATCATAATGTGGTTCAGTACAATAGCTGAGGATTCTCCACCCAGTTCAGTGGTAATTTCCAGAAAGGTAATCTCTTTGTTCCATCTTCCCAATTTGACTTAGGGTTTCCACTGTTCTCAAAACTGTCAACAGTTACAATGAATGAATTTTAAAAGTTGGGGAGGAAAAAAAAAAAGTTGGGGAGAAAAACACTAAAAGCTTCTAGAGAACTCTAATTGCAGATAATGAATGCCAGTAAAAACTTCATTATTTAAAATGTAAGCTGTTGACAGAAGTTAAGTGTGCTTTGTATTTAAAATAAAAGACAGTTCTCTCTTTTTCAGAGAAGTAAAAGAAAGCGTTTGAATATTTGCTGCAAAAAAATAGCAGCTTCTCCATCAGCTTAATGCAAACACAAGCCTTTGCATACCAAGTAACACGGCAGGCATATATCCATTTAAATGTACTCCAATAGCATATTTCCCCATTTGAATACTTTTCTACCAAAACCTCATGCATAATACTCCATTGAAAATACTCAATTTATCTGTCCTGCAAGAAGAATATAGTCAAGTAGAAAGTGACCACATCATACATTTCTTTGTGAGACTGTGAAATCCTGCACAAAAATTTTGGACAGAAACTTAATATTTTTTTTTTCCTTACTGACAGCCCTGTACAATGGATCTGACATTGCTCTTGTACTTTAAATAAAAATAATTAAAATATCTGTAGTAAATATCAATATTCAGTGTAAAGAAATCATGATGTATCTGAAAACTATCCATGTGTTGGAGATGAATGGATTATGGGTATAAAATCTACTTTTTGACCTCTGGCTCAGAAGTTAGAAGACATGGTTCCTGGAATGGATCTACCAGGTGTGGGGTGTGGACAGTTATTTAACACTTCTGCTTACCTTACAAGGTTGTTGTGAATACCCAATTGTATGTGGCCCCTGTGTGCGGGTACAATTGAAACCATACTGGGTATTTACTACATATGTATGTATATATTTATGTATACAATCTATGCCACTAATATATATGTGTACATATATGTAATATATATTTAGCTAAACAAGCATTATGCAATGCCTACGACGTGACACTGTTCTAAGCATTTTCCAAATAATAGCTTATTTAATCTTTCTGATGACATCACTGATTCAATGGACATGAGTCTGAGCAAACTCCGGGATATAGTGAAGGACAGGGAAGCCTGGTCTGCTGCAGTCCATGGGGTGGCAAAGAGTCAGACATGACTTAGCGACTAAACAACAATCCCTCTAAAAATGCTTACTGGATACATACCTTTATTCACCCCATATTACAAATGAGAAAAGTGAGGCACAGAGAGGTTAAGTACTTTCCTCAAGGTCACACAGCTGGTAACTGGCAGAGCAACGGGTGGTACCCTAGCAGTCTGGCTCCAGATTCAGTGTTCTGGACTGCTGTGCCATAATCTCTGGAAAGTTGCAAGCACTGTGTAAACAGAAGGTCTCTTTATCTGGGGGATATAGTTACTCCTGGTCATATTCAGAAATGGAGGAAAAGAAGGAATGAAAGATAAGTATTTATTCATTCCACATTTGTAATGAAGACTTGGTGTCCAGGGTAGTGGATGGATAACTGAGTTGAAGAATAAGACTAGAGAAGTTAGCATGAACCAGATGAGAAGAGCCTTGATATCCCAACTACTTACGCAGTACAGAATTTATTCTGCAGGTATTGGTGAATCTACAGAAATGTAAACAGTAGGGTCAAAGCAGTACCTTAGCACTAATCCACTGAAGACAGATAGGATCGTTTAGGGTGTGAAGTGACTTCATTTAGCACAAAGAAGAGGGAGTGGAAAGGAGGAAAGAGAATTCAGAATGGCAGCTACAGGGCTTTTTCTCTGTTCTCACTCTCTCGGACCTTTGCTTAAACTTGACTTGACTCCCTGCACCATGGAGTTCAAATGCTCTTACACTCTGGCTCTAACAAGTGATCTGGAACACTAACGAGTGATCTAACAAGTGATCAAGGAACAC